AAGATGAGTACATTTGATCACGCATAATTTAGCCATTAGTTTAATATTTTTATGTGTAAAATTGATCAAAACATATACAAATGTTATTGATTTCATTATGTATTAAGTGTAAATTGATTTTTATTATTCGTATAAATTATAAAACATACGATAAATTAAATAAATTTTAAACTTATATAATTCTTTTAGACATAACAAACAAACAAAAAATCTAATAATAAAATTGATAGATATTTATGGTGTGATTAAATATGTATGATAAACATTTTATATCGAGTTGAAAACGGGGAGAGAGAGAAAACTGCGCGACGAAATTGAAAACGGCAACGTTCATTGACCATCATCATACCGGGTTGCGTTCCGAATACAAATCCGGGTCGGATCCGATATCCAAGCAGCGACTGGTATATAAACACGTGACGAAATAATGCCTTGTTAGATCATGTATTTTGGTCGGGTTTTGGTCACCGGATCGATCCAACCACTATGGTTAGTACTTTGTAGCCGGATCAGGAATAAATAAAAACTTCGACTAGAGTCATGATGGGGCCCACTCGAAAGCAGGAACCCTCCAAAAATAGGCGTATGCCACGTGGCGAGGAGAGCACACGGTATTCTTTAGTAAAAGGCGAAAGAATAGTTCGCTTTGTGCTCACCTCATGGCTGCGTAATTTTCGAAGGAAGAGAGTGAGACTTTATTTATACCGAAATTTCCACTGCAAACTCTCTCAACTTCTCGATGTGGGACTCTGAAAAAGCCCATTACAGTTTTTTTATTTTTATTAACTAACAACCTCCGAACAAAAAATTCACATGACAATACTAATTTTTTTCATACTCAATTGTGAACGATTTGCTTCATAAATTCATTTCATTTCACAACCTCAACAAACAAACAAACAAAAGAATCACATTTCATTGAGATATCTTGCATCACAATTCACCACCAGAACTCATCAGGTTTTGTTGATTATGTACAATGTTCAGTTTCGTATAATCTAAAATCATTGGATATAATCATCTCCTTTTATCTAAAACTTTGGTATATTATAGTTTTCCTTTCACCAAAAATAGACCTACAAATCTACACAAGAAACATAAACGGTTTATAGCTGTGACGAAAGATCCATCAAGTAAAGCTTGAGTGTCTCGTAGGTCATGAAGCAAATCCCAACACCAGGTACCACTTTGTAGTACTCTGGAAGTATTCCTCTGTACAAACCTCTCACTCCTTCCGTCTTAACAATCCGCTTTAATGTTCCCAACAGTCCCGTCTTGTACACTACCGCTCTCCCGCCCACTCCTTCTAGCTGCTTCCTTCTTCTCACCAGATCCAACGGGAACGTAACTGCGATTTTTTAGACATCAGATGATGAAACAGAGTGTCTTGTTATCTAACATTTAACTAATGCATCAATTATGTGAAGGTTCTACTGCTTATGAATGCAAGCATGAGACAGAGTTTCACTCGGATATAAACACCAAAATCAGCAGTTAATTGAACAATGTATAAGGGGAATGAGGTAAGTTGTTTTTGATTAAGCAAATGTTAGACTAAATGAGAAAGCATGCCTAAAGAAGTAAACCCCTCACATTAAAATCACTACAATACTTGAAAGGAGAAATCAACTAGAGAAGGCCATGGTGATCATATCAGATTGATAGATACAGAAGTATGCATATGAGAATGAGCATCAGATTTTCATTATGTGGCAATAGTGGAAGTCCGAATCACCTTGGCCAGTTTTCACAAATGCACCATGTCCACCTATTATTATGCATCGAAAACATAGTACACAGAGAATCCTGAGTTGAGACTATTGATGTGATGCTTGTCAGCAATATGAAAATTGATGCTAATGGTAATATAATCAGCGTTTAAGAGAAAGGCATAGAAAGAAAAGGTACAGTCTAACGGTAAGTCCCAAGGCGAACAAGAAAGAAAAAGGTCAACGAATAGGTAACTCACCTGTTGAAGATGCTATGCCTGAAAGACTTCCACAAGCTAGACTAGTCATGATAGGAGAATCATGGGGCCTTGGGAAAAAAAAAAGAGAAACAGACAGACAAATAATTTTAGGAGAAAAAAATGATTGGTGACATAGTTAAACTGCAAACTATAATTTTGAGATCAACTTATTACCTATTTGACCTCCAATACGATCTCAAAGATTCATATGCAGAAAAGCTAATGGCGATACTAGGCCCAACACCCTGTATTGAAAATAAAACCATAGTCAGGAAAAAATGAATAAAAAGATACAACACTTATGTGATGTACACATATTTTTGTGGAAAAATACCAAGAGCGTTGTTCCGAGTCCCTTGTAGAGGCCCAAGATACCTTCATCGGTGGTGATAGTGTGCAGAGTATGCCATATACCCGTGTAATATATTACATTTGTCTGCCATTGATGCAAAAATAAATGTCAATAACCAGCTAATGCAACAATGCTTCAGTCTAGAATCAACATGTTAACTTAGAAGACAAGAATTTTTTAACAATAATTGTATCAACTACTTATGTTCAAAAACTCCAACCTGAGCAGCAAGGCGAGTTCTAACAAGATCAAGTGGATAAGTGGCAGAAGCAGCTGTGATTCCAGCCAAACCGCCGGCTACAAAATGTACAAAAAGGTTTGAGCTTACACTCGCCCTGTGATTTTCCATCCCGGTAACCAAATATATGAACTGAAAATCATTCAAAAGATCAAATCAGTCATTGGCTTAAAGTAGAGAATAATAGCAAACTATGACCAAACTGCCAAGTTAGATTGTCGAACCTTCTTGTAGTGTTCATATGTGTAGAAATTGACAGAAGAATACGGAAGCCGGTGAGCAATAGTAACCAGATTCCCCTTCCAAAAAGCCTTAAATCCCTCTTCTTTCAATATTCGTGACGCTTCGTTCAATATACACGGCTTTCTTAGAGCTGCAGCATTTGAATGCATTCCTTGCACCTAAATACAATACAGTGTCTAATCAAGAAACTGCCCCAAAAACTGCATTTTAGAGAACCCAAAATGCTTCATACAAATCAAACAACAGTAAGTCATTTCTTCGTCTTCCACAAAGCTCAATTCGAGTATCGAACACACTAAAACCCACGAGACGAAGAGATTGAATTAGTTTTTCAAATCCAAATTTCTCGATTGGTACCAAAATCAGAGTTACAGGAAGACCAAAACGCAATTGAAATCTCGAATTTCTCATTT